AACAATTTTTGGTTCGCTTTGCGTTGGTCAAACAAATTTGCCCCTTTCATCTCATTGAGAGACGATTGAACAATAACAATAATGTCGATGGCAACAATGGTAATCTAAATAGTTGTCGTCTTTGAGTAGGAAAAGGCCAAAAAGAACATTTTTTTTCTTCGAAATTTTGAGTTAAAAGAGCATTTCGTTTTTTTTTTCTTTTGCTTGTTTCGAGTATCAAGTTTTTCAATTGGTCAATGAGCTATGGACTGTGTGGAGGGGTCAAAGGTCGTCTTTTGATTCTTTTGATTTGCTTGCTTTAAAGATGACGGTTGTTGGTAAAGCTCCGCTTGATGATGATGTTGAGCTTGGGCTTGACTGGCTTCGTGGTGAGCTTGAAGGTAAAAGGTTGCCTGAGGTTGAGGGTTGCATTAAGGTTGGCTGAACCAGAGGTGTTGGTGAAGGACTTAGTGATACCGGACTTGAGGGTGGATTGGGTGAGAGTGATGAGGGAAACAGGGGTGAGACTGAGGGTGATATTGGTACAACTGTTGGTGGATATGGTGCTTGACGGTGTCGACGATGGGATACATGATGGTAGTGGTGTGGATGGTGATATCTGTAGGTTGAGGTTGAGCTTGAGGTTGGCATTGGACTTGATGTGGTTCCAGGCGAAGGTAAAGCCTTGGAGTCAACCGATGAAGTTGATCCCATTGAGGTTGCACTTTTGATCAACGAGTCTGTATCTTTGTGGATCACTGTTGACGTACTTATATCACAATCAGATTCACCATCTTTTTCAATGGACTCTTTACTCAATCTCAAACTACTGCTTCTGTACTCTTTGTTATTATTATTGTCATAATTTTTATTATTAGCATTATTATTGTTGCTTGTATTATTGTTATTGGAATTTATTGTCCTATTATTTATATTGGCTTCACTGTTGTCCATTCCAGTTGAGGGAAGATACATATTGACTCTTGATGATGATGATGATGATGAAGGTATTGATGATGTTACTCTGACCGTTCCTTGACCTGTTGGCTGGTCAGTTGATGAAAATTGACTGGTAGATGTTGTTGGCTTTTGCTGTTGATGATATTGGCTTGGCTGGTGAAAGGGTTGATAATGGTAACTTGATTCTTGTCCTGGAATTGGCGAGGCTTCTCTAATTGATTCAAATGTTCCTGAAGGCAATTGACCATATTCCGAGTCAGATAAAGATGCTACCTCTGAGGTAACCAGAGTACATGGTTCATGTGGAACATCTGGCTCAGTTGAATCTATGGAGGACATTTGAGTGGAAATTGAATCTCTATCGTAATTTGAATCGCGACGGCTCAAAAGAAGGTAAGTTGTCGAAGAGGAAGATGAAGGTGATATCGGGGGTTCACCTCCTTCAGGTCCAATGATGATTGAAGGAGTGGTCGAAGAAGTGGAAGGATGAATGATGCAGCCCAGTGAAGATTCAGATTTAATTGTACGCCTAGGGTAGACTTGATCAAAGGCTGATGGGGAAGAGGTTGAGGTTATAACAGAAGAGACAAGACCTCGAGACCAATGGGAACCAGTGAGACCACTTGATGTACCCTCGGTACCAGTTGATCCTGATCGGTGTGAAGAGGCTGGTGTACAGGTATCCAGGGAATGACGAAGAGTGACCCGTTTCTTGACAAACCTTTGAGAAAGGTCAGAGTTGCCTCGGGTCATTGGACGGTCAAAATTTTTGGAAACTGGAGTATTGGGTTCAGAGGATTGTTTGTCCACCAGAATGGGCTTAGGACGGGTTACAAAAGTGATTGGAGCACCAGTAGGATGAGAGTAAATGGTACCACCGGCAGGTCCACCAGGATAAGGTGAAAATGTGTACGGACCCGAGGCTGAGGAGAGTAGGCTTGTTGGATGGGGCAAGGGTGAGGCTCCAGGTGGAGTTGAGAGTCCAATGAGTGGACTTGGTGATGCAGTTGCACCCATTAGACAAGGTGGTGTTGGTGAGGTAATTTCTTGAGCACAATGTGAATAGTGTTGTTGTTGTTGTTGCTGTTGTTGTTGAGTATAATTGGTTGTGGGTGGTTGTGGATAGGAGTTTTGATTGATTGTTAAAGATGATGAACTTGGTGGCCCCGTTGATCGGTTATTGATTAAGATTGTTGAAAGAGCTTGAAAGTTACATCGATCTTCCAAGTACATTTCCAATAGTTGATCAACTTTATTCTCAACGTCTTCAACCTGGAAAATTCAGAAGCGAAAGCAGAAAAAAACAAGAAACGAAAAAAAGAGCAATAAATATCATTCCATCGTTTTATTCTTGAATCTCAGACTCACGTCGAGTCTCACATCATGAGTTTCAATGAAAAGCAACATTTAATTCTTTATCTACTCATTCACCCTTTAATCGCTCTTTTCATCCTTTAATTTAATTTCACTGTAAACTGCTCAAACTCTGCATGACATTTTCACCAATTTTTCTTTTCTTTCCACTTTCGACAATTTCTCAGCATGAAATGAGTAATCTCTTTACTCTAACCTCTGTTTTTGACTTTAGTTTAAAGTAAAAGTTTATCAATAAAACTGTGTTTAAAAATGCCATTTCGCACCTAAAATGTTTTCAACAGTTGCTTGTGTTGACTCAATTTGAAAACTTACCGTTCGCTCAACTTTAACAATCCTTGAAGCTAAACTCATTTTAGATTCATAGGCATCAATGGCTTTGGAACCAACTTTACCCAAAATGACGTCCAACCTAAATTGACAAATTGCAAGTAATGGAAGAAGAAGAAAGAAAAGAGAAGAAAAAAAATCTGATTGGCTTTTGCAAACAAACGGTAAGAAAACAGGGAAACTAAGAGTAAACTTTGTATAGCGAAATGAATAAATAATGTTTACTGATGAGGTTAAAATTGATGTTTCATAATGAGACCAGGAAAAGGATAAAATAAACTGCAAGATTGATGATGATGATGATAATGTCTGTAATTGACGTGAAGCTTTACATGAGAAACCAACAACTACTTATGGTAACAAGAGGAGCACAAAAAAGGGTTACTTGAAAATGTAATGTCATGCAATTGATGAAGAATAAAGAGATTTCTTCTTTTCACTATTTTCTCTCTTCTTTTCATTGTAACAGGTTAACTTGTTTGGCGATCATTGATACTGGTAATTGGTCAAGAAAATTCATTCTCCTGATAATCTTGTTGCCAATCGATTCGATCGCTTTTTATTCTTTTGTCTTCTTGTTCGCAATCAAGAACAAGTTCATTCACATGAATTCTGTCGAGATAAACTGATGAAATGATAATGAACTGAGACAAGTGAAGAAGTAAAAGTGTTTAAAGGTTCGACTTCGTCTTCCTTTTGCTGTCCATGATGAACCAAATTGAAATGACATAAGAATGAAAAGTTTCTCCTTCTTCGTCTTCTTATTCTTCCCTAACTATTTACTCTTCATTTGTTGTAATGTTAATCATTCTGACATTATCGTTGACATTGAATTTTGACTTTTCTTCTTCTTTCCTTTCATTTTTATTCCACCATTTGGAACCCATTTCTGATTGTTGTAAAAAGATTTCAGACAAAATCTCATTGATAAGGCTTTTCATTTATTTGCTAAATTATCGTCATTTATGATTGAATTGACGAGCTTTAATGGTTAAAGGAAGTTGATGAATGAAATGAAAGTCACCAAAATTGACATGAGAATGAAATATTGAGTGACAATTAAAACTAACAATAATGAGAAATGAAACATTTCACGATATAAATTGTGATTGAATTGACAGTAGACCTTTGAGTTGATGCCATGAATAGGGAAAAATGAGATTGACTAACCAGACGCATTAATGCAAGTGTAAACTTTGAAAATTGAGGCAATCACCAAGATTGGTGAGCAACTTTAATGATGAAAATTTTGATGGCAAAAATTGATTCTCATTAAGCAAGAAAAAACTGTTGAAATTTTGACAAATTTTTGTGTGAAAAGGTGAAGAACCTGAATCAATTTGGGGAGGAAAGTGACACATTCAATGAATGTCAATTCACATTGGAAATGTTTCATTTGAAATGATCTTTGTCAGTCTAACAGAAAAACAATTCACTTTGATGGGAAATCACACAAAGCGACACAATTCATGTACCATTTAATTATCATTAACACAACATGAATGCAAATTAACATTAAACTCATGGGAATCGTGATTCCATGTCCATGAAGGGAGAAAACACAGTCATAAAGTTTCATGTTTATTCTTGTTGTTAGGATTAAAAATAACTTTCAATCGCTTTACCCATTAAACAAGTTCAACGAATACTTTTTGAAGCTTTTGCATTTGCAACATTTTATTGGAAAGGTTGATCTTGTTTTGAGAAGAAAGAAAATCGAAGAGAAAAATTGGAAATTTGTTCTTACCTTGCTTGGATATTCTTTGTTCTTGCCAATAAATCAACATGACCAGCTGAGTATTGTTCAATAACATCTTTAACATCATAAGGTTTAAGAGCTTCCTTGAACTTGCGTCGAGCAACGAAATATTTTATCTTTAAAGATGCGAAAATGAGTTAATCATTAGAATGGAAATTTGAAGAAATGAGCAAAGAATTTTTTATCCATTTGCAAATGCTGGGAGTTATTTCATCAAAATCAAATCAAAATATAAATACCTTTCGAAGGGATCTTATTGCATTCTTGTGTTGCTTCGTTAAAACAGTCAACTTGGGTTCTTCTGGTTCTTCATCTGGTTATCATTGAATAGAGAAAGAGAAGAGAAAAGATGCTTTTTTGTTAAAATTTTGATCCACTTCGTTGGTTGATTGATGAGACAATTTGATGAGAAAAAATGTAAACTTTTTTCTTCAACATTTTGTTTTGAGTTAAATTTATATTCATGTGCAGTAATTAAGTTAAGCCGCAAACAGTTGAATTGAATAGTGATTGTGTTTTGTAAGTGATTTTGTGTGATCTCTAAGTGCGCATCAGTGAATATGTAACATTTATGTGTGTCTTCGTGTTGTAAAAGTGTTTGATTGCAGTTGATAGAGAAATTAAAGTTTATTTTAAAAACATTTCAATTCATTCCGACTTACAATTCCATGTGAAACTCAACTCATTTTCGTCAAACTTGAACAAGAAAAATGTCGATTCTTTCAGCATTTCAAACGTGCCAATTCAAAGTTGCATCAAAAATGCAGATATTCATTGCAAACCTTTGTCAACTGTGCAACTTTTAAGTTCACCCAAACAAAATACAAGAAAAGACGAAATGAAAACAATGCAAACTTGGATCGATGTGAATAGAGTTAATAGCAAAAGGAAAATTAGTTTAATCAGAAAGGAAATTTGTTTAGACACTTCAAGAAAGGTTGACCTGAGTGTTTCCATTTTGAGCATTCAAAGACATTCAAGTGAAATCAAATTGTGGCGAAATCGGAGTTAATTAAAGGAAAAAATTTCTCAAAAGTAAACCAACAATTTTGATATGATTACATTCAATATGCACTCAAAATATCATTCAATGTCAAACATTCAAATTGCACAAATAAAAAGGTAAAAACCATTTCAGTTTTCATGACATTTGCTCAGGTCTTTGTTCAAGTCTTTGCTGCGTTCAAGCCTTTGATTGACCAACAAATGGTTCTCAAACATCAAGTATCATTATAACTCGAGTATTTGATCAGTTGCTCAACAATACTTGACTTGAACACGATTTTGTGGATTTTCTCGATTCAAAGAGATCTTTTGCTTTGTGTGTACTCTCGAAAGAGAAGCGAAAACTTGAATGGATTTTACCATTTAGCATCTAAAAGGTACACAATAAGGATATACTTTACCTAATTTAATGCTTTCTTTACGAGACCGTGAAAATATATTGGGTGCACAAAAATAGCTTGGCCTTTGGTCGGGAGATATTTCTGTTCTTGGAATGAGATTATAAATTCAAAATCACTAACGCAAACCTCGATCATTGATCGAATTTTCTTTTCAACTTTGCATTTCCACTAAAAACTATTTCCAATGCAAGGTTTCAGGTTAAAATGGTTTGCGTTTAGTCAAAACGCGAATGAAGTTAACAATAAAGCGAGAATTTGGAACCACAAAATACGAATCACAAAAGTCTTTTGATTTCATGCATATCTGAGTATATTGCAAATATTGAATATTGCAGTATAACAAAATCAATCGCCAAGCAATTTGTTTGTAACTCTTTGAAGGTGATTTCGATATTTGTGGTTCCATTTGTGATAAATACTGTGCAATGTTGTGCAGAAGCTTTAGGTTTTACTTCAAATGAATTCATTGTGAAAGCTGAAAACAGCTCAAGTTTCGAGACTCATTAGTAACGTGATAGCATCAATCCAAATATGCACCTACTAAATGTTTATTTAGCCCCTGAATGTGCAAAATTGACGCAAAATTTATGTAACAATGAAGTTGTGGTATGAATAAGGGCTTTTTCTTTTGCGTTCAGTTCCTTCTCTATGCATAATTTGAATTGGTGGTTGAAATAAAGCAGAGATTAAATCAGCCTCAAAGCCTCAATGCAGCATGAACAAGTTTAAGTTATTCGTCTTGATATTTCCCATGTTCAGCATGAAATACTAATTATCAATATTAAACTATGCAATTTCAATGCTTCAAGACTTTTTAGAAAATCGAATGTGGGTGTTTATTCATGAATCAGACGGAATTGTATCTTGACTCTGTGCAAATTTACGCTAAAAAGAGGTTTTGCAAGGGTTGCAGCCACATGCTGGCTCAGACATGCAACTTTCATCCAAAAGTGTACATTGAATGGTAAAATTGCTAACAAAAATCAAATTGACAGGAGAGACTGTGCAGCATGGATACATTTTGTAAACCTTGATTTTCGTTGACGAATGGATGCAATAACTCGAGCCACAACCAAAATCACCTCTTATGCAATTTAAGGATTAAAGTTAAGATTTTGACATTTTGTAAAATGGTCAGTTTAATCACAACAAATGTCAACAGCATTTAACCAATTTTACTTGTCAAAACTGTCTGATCCCAGTCTAAACATTCTAGTTGGGAAACTTTCTTTTTAACGATCAAGTCTCGCTTTTAATCTCTTGTTAGTTCCTTTGCCAAACTTTCGAGTCTGCAATATTTTTAGTTTGTAAAATATCAAGAAAAAACTTCCAGCCAAGGCTTGCATTAGAGTTGACAGAGAAGCCGATGGATTTGACGGTAAGAATTGTAAAAATTGCATGCAACTGAACCGAAAAGTCTATCAAAACAAACCTGAACGTGATCAAAGATCAGCACATGAATTGCATTCTGATACCATTTCAATTAACCGATTAATGAAAGTTTTAATCATTGCAACGAAGCCCTGGCCAAAAAGGTTCCTCAATAAACTAACTTGCAATGAAATATGATCTCGAAATGTTTCTAAAATAACCTTTAATCAAGAAAATGTAAAATTTATTTACACTTTTCGTGCACAGAGAGCAACCAAGAATAATGATTACTTTTTTGCTGAAGTTTAATCCATTAATAAGTTTTCAGAACCATTGCAAACTTGTAACCTTTCTAACTTTGAACACGAAAAAGATACTTTATTCAAATTGACCGATTGATACAGAGTTATTCAATTTAAACATTTGTATCCTTTAATGCATTTGAGGACAAACTTTATTCCGAATTGAGTAAAAGGTGTTACAATGAAACAGAAAGAATTGATCCATTAATTGCATTCGAAAGACTTGAACTTTTCAGCGAGAAAAAAATTCTCTCACAATTCTCAGAAGACTAAACTTGATTTTTCACAAAATCTAACCATGATTTGAGGAGAAAAAGAACTAAAATGAATTGAATAAGAAAATTGAATTGAAGAAAATGAAATAAAATCTCGAGACTGATATGAAAAGGGGTAAAAAACGATTCCTGAATAATGCAACATGAGGTTTGCCAAAGGATCCAAATCAAAATTCATTTTAAAGTTGATCAAATTTTCTTTCAGAGTTTCAATGAAAGATGGACAGGTAAGGCAACAAAGTATCAAAGGTTAAGACTGATAGAATGACGAAATGGATCAAAAGTTTCAGTGAAATTGAAACTCTTTGCCAAATATGAGGTTAGGCGTAAAAAGGTAAATGATTGAAAGGATGGAACATTGAACCAAAAATTATTTGCAATGAAAGTCGGTGTAAAGAGTTTGAAAACAATGGATAAAGGTCGAATGCAAGTTTTCTCGTTGAAGGATAACTGTCGCCACAAAGAAAGTAACAATTTGATTGATTCTTGGAAAAGGAAAAAAGTCTTTTTTTAGTTTATCCTCGTGAAAAAGAAACAATTTCAACTTGTAATGTTCAGCTTATCATGTTGCTTCTCATCTTTAGCACTCTGTTCATGTTTGCTGATAATCTTTCGTTTCCTTTCTTTTGATGAATCCATCATCACCAACAATTTACGCTCTGTTTGCTGTTTTTTCCTCTTCATTCTTTACCATTTGTTATAAAGATGATTGCGGGTTAAAAGGTTAGACAGATTGTTACATGATACTGGACATTGAATCCTGCAACTTGACCGAAATAAACTAAAACTTTTAGGTAAATTTAGCTTCTAGTAGTTACGAAATTGTTCAACATTTCAAGTGTCCACTGTTTCCAAGACAAAACTGGGACAAGAATAAATCATAAAACTATTTGTCAACCTGATCATTTTCACCATCATAAGCGATGTCTTTTAATTTATTACAAGCAATTAGTAAAGTCAACTTGAACGAATTCAAAGAGCTTTAAACAGTCCAAAGAGACAATTTGAGTTGCAACGATTGAATGGTAGAATAACTTAGAACGGAACGAAAAAATCTATTTACTAATTAAGAACTCGAATTACTTCTCAATCGGTTTGATTTCAGTCTACATCGAAATGAATATTGAAGTTTGTCTCCACGCTCTTTTTCCTTACCTTTTGTTATTGTAGCTTTAGTTTCAAATTTCATTAGTTATTTTGTTTCGTTCACTTTCGAGTTTCATTATTAATCAACTTGATCGTTTCATCAATATTCACCTTCTTTGTTGTGCTCATCAAAATTGATTAATGCACCTTTACCATGCTTACACATTAATTAGTAATTAAAGAAACATTTGAAAAGATGTTGATCGATCAGTTGTAAGTGGAAACAAACAAAAGTAAACTTATTTTCACAGCGAATGTATTTTACTTTTCTTTTGTACTTGTCATGCAATTTTCAGTTGTCAAAATTCAGTGTCAAGTGAGTGAAACAAAACTGAAAAGACTAACAATTGGTGCAGACAAAAGTGAACAGCAAAAATGTTGGAAACGTGAGTGTCGAGTGTTGTTTTAGGTGAATTTTCGTGATAAAGGAAATAGAATTGTTCATTACTCAAATTGTTGACGAAGCAAAACAAGACAATAATTCTGAATATTGAAGGCAACTTTTATTTCCATGTGCAACTTACTACTAATACTTACAGTACCAGTCAAAGAAACTGTCAGTGTCTACATCAACATTCAAAGTTGCATATTTTTTGATCTACTTGTAATAAGACCATGATTGTACTCGTATTTTATTTTCAAACATTCAGGGATAAAATAGTAGTTTTTTTTGTGAGTTAATCAAGAAAATTAGCAAATTAGAGCTGATTTAAATCATAGCCTCTGTTGAAATTTGGTGAAAAATATTGGAAGTTTGTTTTAGAGAGAACTAAATAGAGTTTAACTGCGAAAAAAAGTTCTAAAGACTCTCTGACTATAGAATATTCAAATTCTAAGATAAAAATTTAATTATTGTTCAGATTTTGATTGCAATCAGTCTGCGAATATGAAAATCATGGAAAATTTAGTTGATCCGATAGATGGCGTTCCTAATTGATCGCTCATTTTGGCCTTATTTTATGGTTCTCAGAACTTTTAAATGATTTTTCTTAAAATTTTTAAGACTATTAAGCACAAATGATCATTGAATACTGAAATAATTTTGAATTTGTGCCATTTTTAGCATCTCAAAAATTCTAAAATTTCAACTCAACTTTTTGCTTGAACGAAGCTTAGCTTTGAACGGCCAACAAGACTCGAAGATTACAATATTTTCATTTTTCAAATATACTATTCGTTAGTCTAAACAATAATTTATCTTTTTCTAAAATATCAAAATAAAAAACTTCAAGATTATTCTGTAGCATTGAAAAATCTAACTGACAGTTTCTTTGACCGATACTGTATTACAATAAGTAACAGATAATCGTTCAAAGTGTATTAATGACTACTACAATATGAAGCACTCTATTATTTAGCATCTAATATAAACTATTTCTAAGTGGAAAAATATGATTAGGAAAACAATCTTATTATATTATTAGAAGGTAAATGTTGCCCAAACCTGAGGCATCGTAGAAATGAGGTTGAAAAGTGGGTGAAAGAGCAAGTAATGGTGGATGATTACAATCACGCTGGAGCATGTGACACAATACCAATGGTACTGATCCATCGTCCACGTCTGTAAGATAATCTCATGTTTAAATATGTATCAATGTTGAATGGCGAAGATCATTGGAAAAATATTGACTCAATAAGAGTTTGGATTGACTTTGCAGAGCGCCTTTCAATGGATAAGTGGAAATACACAAATCATCCAGAAACCGAGTGAAGTAACTTCGATTTTCACAATTGCATCTTTCAAAGTTTTAATAGTTCTAAAGTTCTTAGTACTATTCTTCGGAATTTAGCTGTTGTATTTAAGATTCCAAAGTACTTTTGTAATTGTTTTAAGAACAATTCTAATGGCACTTATGCTATTCAGATATTGAGACATTCATTATGATTGAAGCTATGAAAGTTTTCCAAATAATTGTTAATCGAGAAAATCATTTTCATTTTGCATTTTAATGCTTTGTATCAAATCGTTGGAGTCAAACGAAAGAAACTTTTATAACATCGAATTCTTGATTTTAGAACGATCACTATTGATTGAAGAGCTAGTTTGCGGAAGACTTTTCTGTGTCAATTAAAGCGTTAGTCCTCGAGTGAGGAACGAACATGTTTTCAGCTTGACGAGTTGATTGAATCGAGATTGAGTATTTTGAGTTTATTGAACTAAAAGCTGAAATAGAAGCTAAAGTTACATGATATCATTTGCTCCGTTGAAGGTATTTTCATCCAATTATCGTTAAAATCTGTTTCTAAATCGAATGCTGAATTTGATACAAAATAGAATTAGTTGAAAGGTGAAAGAATGAAAGAATTGGTTTGAATGAATGAATAATAGAAGTAAATATGCTTCAATTACATGCTGTCGATTAGACTTGAGAAGAATGTTGAAGAATTTGAAAAGAAACTCGATTAAGGCTATCAAATGAATCTAGTTTGAAAGTTCATGAAAGACTTGCAGAATAACGAAATAAAGAAAGAATCGAAATTTATCAAATTAAAACTTGTAATACATTGAATCACTTTTATCTGAACCAATCTAAATGAGAGTGCATTTGCTTTACTCGAAACATGAAAATTTTCATCTTTACTCCAAACTGGACATTATTCATTTTCTCCATGAAATTTACATCATGACCTTGCCTAGTTTTACATGCTTTTTTTAGTGATTCTGTTTTTCTACTCTTCCATCTGAACATGATTCAATATTGTTCCTTGTAATGAGCTTTGTTCCAGTTAATATAATTTATGGAGAAAAGCGCAAAGAGTAAAATGAAAAGGGAAAAGTGAAAAGAAAACAATTGACATTATTAAGGATGAATGCTTGAACTGTAAAAGTCATGATAATAAAAGTAATTGATAAACAAATGATAATGGACAGAAAAGCACTAAAACTTATGAGCAAGTGTCCAGGTTAT